GCCGCCCTGCCCTGCCCCCACCCTGGGGAGTCGGGTGACCTGGGGTTCCCAGGCCACCCTCCGGAGCGTGGCGCTCGCCGTACGTGGCCATCCCAGCACAAGAGGGCCCCCGCCGGAGGCGGCCTCCATCTTTCCTGCTTAGACAATCGTCGGGGATGGCTAGTTCTTGTTTCATTGAAAACCGAGAAGGCAGAGGGCTCGGCCCCATTGAAAACAGTGCGTCACAGATAGAGCCTTGGGCCCCCAGATGATGCAGTCGCTTTGCAGATGAGACAGGCCTGGGGCATCCCCAGTGTGTGGCAGCGGGGGCTTCCTGGCTAGAGCGGGCAAGGATTGTGGCAGGGTCCGCGGCTGCTGTGAGGAAGCCCCCCCAAGGCCAAGCCTGCGCTGAGTCAGATCGTGCGGGCCTGGGCGAGGCCCACCTGCCTGCCTTTAAAAGGGCCGCAGGTGGACAGAGAAGGGGTTAGAGCTGGCTCTCTGCTAGGGGCCTGTGTGTGCCCCAAGAAATGGCGGCAAGGAAACCAGGCCTGGGGTGTGGGGATCCCTCCAGGTCTTCCGAGGGGGTGGGGGCTGGAAGCAAAGGACTCAGCCCATGGCCTGGCCTGAGCTGGACATGTGGACACTGGACTCCACCGCTCCCTCTGCTGGGAGCCAGGGATGCCATCCTCCCAGTACTTCGTGACCCCTCACTCGGTCGGCGGGGCGGTTGCCTGTGGAGGGGGAGCTGCAGGCCCTCCGGAGGCTGACGGTCTGCGCCTGCACTTGTGTCCTGCAGGCTGCACTTCCCCCAGCTGGCCCTGAGGCGGAGGCTGGGACAGCTGAGCTGTATGTCCAGACCCGCCCTGAAACTGCGCTCCTGGCCCCTCACCGTCCTCTACTACCTCCTGCCCTTCGGCGCCCTCAGACCGCTCACCAGGGTGGGATGGAGGCCTGTGAGCAGGGTAAGTGTGCCATGCCAGGCCGTCTGCCCCGCCATCCCCGGGGGTTGAGACCCGAGGAGGGGCCTTGCTGGCCACATGGCTGTATAGCAGTGGCTCCCCTGCCTCTTTTGGAGAGAAGGCTATACTGGTTGGTGGCCCATGGGGGCTAAGGTGGTCTAGCCACTGCACCACTGTTGCAGATGGTGCCTTTGGGGGCTCCGTGACCTGGCCTGACTCCTGCCTCAGCTGTGCCATGTTGGGTACTGGACTCTGGGAGAACCTACATTGGGGAATCTCACCTGACCTCACCTAAGCTAACCTAAACTGGGATCTATCCCCGAGTTTTCTGTATTCAGGAGGGCTGAGTGTGCCTGGGCCCCGCAGGGAAGGATGGGGGAGCTGTTCTCGTCACCCTTGGCCTCCTGGGTGGGCACCCCAGGAAGGAACCCTGCTCCTGGGCCCTGGGGTGTCATCAGGGCTTGAGAGTTTGTTCTTCTCACTCGCTATGAGAAACCAGGCTCCCGCTAGAGCCAGAGACAGTGGGCTCACTGGCGGCCCTGTGCTGCTCGCTCCAGGTGGGCTGGGGCAGCCAGGGGAGGTGAGAGCGATTCTCTGGGAGACTCCTAGAGATGTTTAAGACTGAAATGAAAGTACTTTTCAACCTTGGGGAGACAGTGCCTTGGTTGTGTTCAGACAAGTGGCAGCCAATCCAAGGAGGCTCACTCCCCACATGGCAGCATTACCTGGGGTTTAGGCTGCCCCTTCTGAGCCTGTCACCAATCCACACCTCCTGAGAGCTTGGTTGCAGGGGTCACCCCCACTGGGCCCATTCCTCTCCCTCTCCCGGGAGGAGCCCCAGGTGCAGACCTAGAGGCTTGGCTGTTGGGCTCGGCCCACAGGGGGCACTTTAGGTCCTGAGTGTTGGCTGGCCCTGTGGGGCCAGGGGCACCTGCATCTGACCTCGAGTGCACAGGACAGGTGGTTCTGCTTCCCATCAGGCAGAGTGGCATGCTCTGGGCTTGCTTGGGGCCCATGTCCAGGTCCTCCTGCCCCTCTCCGTGGTCGTGGTTGGGGACACAGGAGTGGCCCATGACAAGGCAAGGCACGCTCTAGGCCTCCTTTCCGTCTTCCCCATGTCTGTGTGGAGCCGGCTGGCCGATCACCCCACCAGCAAAGGCAGATGGGGTTTACCTTCGAGTGAGAGAACCAAGGTCATGACTGGGTGCTGTGTGAAAGCATCAGTTCCAGCCTCCTCCTAACTCACGTGAGAGGGCGAACCCCTCTGTCTGGTTCCTAGTGAGAAACCCCCACATCACAAAAACAAGTAGGGGTAGAGCATCCTCTCCTGCGGGGTGGGCTCCCTGGAGGTGGGAAGGCCTGGGAGGCAGGTGCTGAGTAGCTGTGAGCCCGTCTGCCAGCCTCAACCTCCCTGCCCTGTACCTGCAGGTGGCCCTCTACAAGTCTGTGCCGACCCGCTTGCTGTCGCGGGCCTGGGGCCGGCTCAACCAGGTGGAGCTGCCCCACTGGCTGCGCAGGCCCGTCTACAGTCTGTACATCTGGACGTTTGGGGTGAACATGAAGGAGGCGGCTGTGGAGGACCTGGGCCATTACCGCAACCTCAGCGAGTTCTTCCGACGCAAGCTGAAGCCACAGGCCCGGCCTGTGTGCGGTCTGCACTGTGTGGTGAGGCTCTTTCTCTCCGGACACAGCACGGCTCCTGCTTGTGTGTGTGGTGGGGCACCCAAGTCCACTAAAGCAGACCTCGAGGTGCGGGCAGACACACAGTTGGCTGTCTCCCAGTGGGGACCAATAAGCCTCTCTCCTGACCCTTCTCAGATCAGCCCATCCGACGGGAAGATCCTCAGCTTCGGGCAGGTGAAGAACTGCGAGGTGGAGCAGGTGAAGGGCGTCACGTACTCCCTGGAGGCATTTCTGGGCCCACGTACCTCCGCGGAGGACTTGTCCTTCCCGCCAGGTGGGTGTGGGTCATCACCAGCCGGGACCCGGGTGCAGGGGAAGACTAGGGCCAGGGCCAGCTCTGCCTGAGCTTCGGACCTTGCTTGGAGTCTGCATACAGAGGGCCTGCAGCTCCAAGCAGGGGCTCGGCAGAGAACCTGCCCCAAGCCAGCCCCCGGCCTTCATGTCTATCCCTAGATACCTCCTGCCCCTCCTTCAAGAGCCAGCTGGTCACCAGGGAGGGAAACGAGCTCTACCACTGTGTCATTTACCTGGCTCCTGGAGACTACCACTGCTTCCACTCCCCGACTGACTGGACCGTCTCCCACCGGCGCCACTTCCCAGGTGGGCCAGGCCCCCAGGAGCTGCTGGGGGAGAAGAGGGGCTGGCTGAGGTGTGGTGGCCCTCGGTGTCTGGGGCCAGGGGCCGGGCTCCTAATTTGGAGTTTCTCATTCCTTGGGCACACATGGCCTGGGTGTTGGTGGAGCTGGAAGGCGCCCGCTTGAGCTGCTGCGTGTGGGAGGAGGCGGGGAGCCAGCTCTGTACTTGGAGTGCCCTTGGGCCCGGGCCAGGCTGAGTGGACACACTGTTCCTTATAGGCTCCCTGATGTCCGTGAACCCCGGCATGGCCCGATGGATCAAGGAACTCTTTTGTCACAACGAGCGGGTGGTCCTGACAGGGGACTGGAAGCACGGCTTCTTCTCGCTGACTGCTGTGGGGGCCACCAACGTGGGCTCCATCCGCATCTACTTTGACCAGGTAAGCCAGACATCAGGGTCACTTGGGCTTTACGTCCCCTGGGCAGCAGGGCCTGCTGTGACTGAATCCCAGGAGCGGTGGGGGCCTGACCACCTGCTCGGCAGGAACCTCTCCCACTGTTGCTGTCATGACCCCTTCTGGAGGCAAGAGAGGTGAGCGCGTCCTCCCTGTGGGCATCCTGCTTCTGCCAGGGACCAGTCAGAGCTGAGAGCAAAGGCCAACAGGAGCTTGGAGAGTCCATGTTGGTTAGAGTCAGTCTTGTGCAGCAGCTGCCCACTGAGCCTAGCCAGACCAGACCAGCTGAGAATCTGGTGCCCACCCTCTTCAGGTGGTTTGCCATTGTTCACCTGCTCGTCCGAGTGCTGGTTCTACATCATTGGTGCTGAGCGAACAGTCGGGGTGTGGGTCTCCATGGCCCTCCTGGGCTGCCCCCTCCCTTTTTTAGCTGGGTTGGGTGGAGGGAACAAGCAGCAGAGGTGGACTAAAGGCCTGGCTGGTTGGTGCAAAGGACGCCCTAACCTTCCTGCCATGACACCCAGTGCTGTGGGGCCCACGCCCCTCTATAGTGAGGGCCACCTCTGATCCCAGCCTCCCATCCTCCTGCCCCCAGGACCTGCATACGAACAGCCCAAGGTATAGCAAGGGCTCCTACAACGACTTCAGCTTCGTGACGCACGCCAACAAGGCAGGCATCCCCATGCGCAAGGGCGAGCACCTGGGCGAGTTCAACCTGGGCTCCACTATCGTGCTCATCTTTGAGGCGCCCAAGGACTTCAACTTTGAGCTGAAAGCAGGCCAGAAAATCCGCTTCGGGGAGGCGCTGGGCTTGCTTTAGAGCCCTGCCCACTGTGGCTGCTGAGAAATTGTTTCCAAAAGGAGGTGCTTGCAGGGAACCCCACGAGACCCCCAGGTCAGGGGCTTTCTCAGGGCCCTGTGAGTCTAGCCAGGTTGAACCCACCTGACTTGTCCCCCAACCAAGGAATGGGGCAGGAGGTTCCCACCCTCACCGTGGGAAGAGGAGCACCCCTGCCATCCTCACTTGCCTATCCCTCCTGCCCACAAGGAGCCAGCAGCCCAGGCTGGCTAGTCTTAAAGCAAACACTTTGGAGCTGTAACCTGGAGCTGCCTCTCCTGGCAGGGTGTCCCCTGGTGCCTGGATGGTTTCAGATGATCAATGGCAACGTGTCACCTTACAGCTCTCCCCCACCTGCCCATCGGCTTTCTGATCTCCCCTGAAGCCTGCTCCCTGCAGGGAATGAGGGGCCCTCCCTGCCCCCGTGGAGCCACACAGCCTTTATGACAGTGACCCTCCGGTCCGCTGCCCAGTGGGAGCTCCATCTTCCTTCTCTGTGCTGGGGTGGAACTCGCCCCCACAGACTACATTTTTGCCAAGGTCCTTGGATGGAGGTGCCGGCAGGCTGCTGCTGAAGCAGCTCAAGGCCCCTGTAGGCCAATGGGCGGCTTCCCAGAGTGTAAGACCCGGGGCTAGGTGTGCCCAAGTGGAGGTGTACAGGCATCCCCAGCTGTGGGAGAGCTAAGGAGCCTTAATGAGTGTGCAGTCAGTGCCTAGAAAACAAAACCTGTCCCCAACTAACAAGTATGCCACCCATGGGGGGCTCCGCCGTTGGAGACAGGGTCAGGTTCATGTTAACCCTGGGGACGCTGTGAATTTCTCCTGCAGGAGAAGCCATTGAACTTTCCTCAACTGTATCAGTAGCACAGTATTTTTGTATGAAAAGCGGGAGACTTCTGAACAGTAATTCATTTAATTGCAAACATTTTGAAATAAAAAATGCACGTCCGCGTTGTGTTCTGTTCCTAGAGGTGGCCCAAGCCTGCCATGAAACCCTGCTGGTGTCCTCTGGGGCGGGGACACTAGCCCAGGGCCTGCCGCAGGGCCCGGACGCGGGCAATGCAGGCGCCAATGGGCTGGTGCTGGGCCCGGAGCATGGCCGCCAGGTGCTGGATCTGTGCTTCCACCTGCGAGCAGGGGGTGGTGGCCAGTTGATCCAGGAGCAGAACCCAAGCCTCCCTGGAGTTGGTGGGGTGCCCTGGGCCTCACCTCCTCCAGCTCCTTCTGCACCTGCTGCTCTGCTTCCTGGTCCTCTGGTCGGGGCTCCTCCCGGCTCAGCTCCAGCCACCTACGCAGGATGCTGGCTTGCCGCTGGCAGGAGCTAAGAGGGCGGCAAACACCTGTGGCTGCTTCCTGGTGTAACCCAACCTGTTCCTCTTCTACCTCCCCCAGCCTTCCCCGGAGGGCCTGGGGGAGAAGACCCAATCTGTCAGCTCCTGAGGCTGCCGCTGCTGCAGCTTGCTGGCCACCAGGCCTGACCACTGTGCAGTGCTTGCTTTCCTGCCCCTTCAGGGTGCCCAGCTCAGCCTGGCCGCCCCTTTGTCTGCTGGACCACAGCTTGCAGCCCCGTGACTCAGGTTCGCCCCCATGAGTTAGTTGCTGACTTGGGCTTTCCAAGCCACTTTGGCTTCTGTCAGGGCACATGAGAGGGTAAGGCCACCACAGCAGGGAAGGGAGTTTCTGGATGGCACACACCATGGGCTCCCCCCTCCCAGCTCTCACCAGAGGTTCTGCTTGGTGGTCTGGTAGTGCTGTAACTGCTGGCGGATCCCCTCGAGCTCAGCCTGCAGTGGAGCGCTGCCTGTGGGGATGGGAGGAGAGAGCTGGTGAACAGTGGGCAGGAGCTGCCACCCTTACCCTCCAGGACCAGGCCTCGGGCACGTACCTGCCGATGCTACTGATGCGGGGGCCAGCTCAGGCCAGGCCTGGGGGCGTGTTAGGTCCCCAGGGAGGAGCAGATGGTGGTCTGGGGGAGCAGCCAGGGGCGGGGCTGCGTGGGGCTGTACTGACACCTGAGGAGGAAGATCCAGCAGTGCGTGGGTGGTGAGGGTGCTCCAGCGGGCCCTTCCTCAGGAGCTAAGCATGGGGGCTCCCCACCAGGTCCCAAACAGCATTGCAGACCCGCTCGTTCTCAGCCGCCCTCAATCTCCACCGGCAGAGGGGGCAGGTGCAGTTGTTCCCGATTCCAAGTCTGCTGAGTCCCTTCCTTCTGGTGGTAATGAACTTGCTCCTATCACCTCCACCTCAGGAGCCACCATACCCCAGTCTGTGCCCCCAACATCCCTCCCCACAAGCTGCAGGAATCGGCAAGGGGCCCTTGCACCTCACCGAGGAGCTAACCTCCAGTCTCACCCCCAACCCACCCCTTCCCTGTTCAGGGGCAGGCTCACAGTCCTATAGCTCCCTTTATCTTGCATTTGACAGGCTCCAAACAGACCCTTCCTGCTTGCCCCCAACTAGCCCCTCCTCCAGAGAAAAACTTCAAGAACCCCCAGGCAGCAGAGGCGGAGACAGCTGGCTGAGCACCCCACAGAGGCTCCACCAGAGTCCGAGAGCCTCCTTGCCTCTCCCCTCCCTGGCCACCAGTACCACACTGTCGTCCAGGTCCAGACGAGAGCTGCTTTGACCCCCAGTCTCACAGTCAGCCCTGACCCGAGTCCTGTGTGATCAGCCTCATGGTGCGTTCCCCGGGTTTCCTTTCTAGACCAGCGGCTGCCCAGGCTCGAGGCTATGTCCTGGGTCTGCCATGCACGACACTGGCACCCACACCTGGTCACGGCGGGTGGCCCCCATGTTCTGGGATCAAGATGTTCCAGGAACGGCAGGCACAGCTGTTGCGGCAGCACTGAGCACACACAGCAAAATCACCCCACCCCCTGGCATGGAGTCCGTGCCGACTCCATGCCACCCCTGGGGTTTCTCTCTCACACACCCAGCCAACTCATAGCTACCCCATGGGTTTGCGACACCCATACATACACATAGCCAAAAGGGACCTCTTACCCCTGCAGCGGTCTTCCCCTGCCGAGGCACGAAGGAGGAGGGAGGCAGCAGCACCAGCTCGGGGCCTGTCGTCCTGGTGGGGGGCTCCTTTAGGCCAGGGGGCCTTGGCAGGGTCTTGTGCTGTGGTAAGGAGCTGCGTGGGGCCAGGGCCATGCAAGCCTCTTCCTGGGAGTGCTGGGGCAGGGAAGTGCTGGCTGGCTGGCTCACACCTGGGTGGGGCATCTTCTCAGGCCTGAGGATAAAGAAAACAGAAGCCCAGTCTGGCCTTGGTGCCCTCTTCAGGAATTGGCCCTTTCTGTCTGGAAAGCAGGCTGGAAAGAGATCTCCCCATCCCCATACAGGCCCCAGCTCCAGCTGCTTTACCACCCAGTTCCTCACCTGGGTCCCTGGCGGGGACGGCACCCCAGGACTCGGCTCTGCTCGGGTTCCAGCAGGAAATCAGGGCATCGGGGCTGCCTCCTCACCGGGCGGGCAGCGCTCCTGGGAAGACAGGGGGCCTGTTCCTCAGCTGATGGACAGGGGGCGCTTTCTGACTCTGTGGGAGCAAGGTCATCTCATCTAACCCCCTGCACTCTCCCAGAGACACTGGGGCCAGAGAAGGAAAGACTGGCCTGAGGTCACACAGGACAAGCCTCTCAGCAGCAACTCTAGTGCGTGCCCGATGCTATAGATCTGGTGTGCCCTTCTGCTATTGCCCTGCCCCCAAAAGACCCTGTCTCTGCCTGCCCCTCACGCTGGCTCACCAGGCCTCTAGCACCACCCTGGCCAAGGGGCTGGGGGAGAAAACCAGCTCTTGTCCCAGAAAGACAGCTCAGGGGTGCAGCTCCAGAGGGCAGTGCGGACTACGCTGGGAGCCAACATTCATCCCAGTGAGTGAGGGTGGGTGGGGTGATGGAGAGTTGGGGAGAGCATGAGGGAGGTGGATACACGGCAAGTAGATCCCAGATCTCACCATGGGGCCAGGGAACCCACTTTAGGCTGCATCTCACTGTGGGGCCAGGAAGCCCACCTTAGGCTGCTTGGGGAAAGTGGGTACCATCTAACTACTCTGGTCCATGGCTGGCGTCACCTCCTAAATAGAACCGATCGGAACCCCCGTCTGTTCTCCCCATCACCCAGACAGGGCAGAGGTTGGGGGCAGGGAAGGTGACTAGGCCCAGAGCCCCTCCTTCATGAGTGAGGTGGCAGAGGAGAGGGGCTACTCACAGATCCAGGAGCTGGGAGTCCCCAGCAGCCAGGGCCAGGCTGCCCAAACATGGCTCAGGCTTGGCTCTCGGCCTCTTGGTCTCCAGAGCGGCATCTCCAGCCCCAGCAGAGATACGACTGACCAGGGGAACCTCGAACGTCACTCTGTGGCTGGCTGTGATGGGCTTGGAGGTCAGGGGGTCCTTGGTTGGACCCAGGGCTTTCTGCTTCCAGAGCATGGCGCAGTGGCGGACAGCACGGTGGAGGCCATGAGCCACCTGCCAATACACCCCCGTCAAGCAAATACTCGATGCCGGCACCCCCAGCTCAGGGGGAGCCCCCTACCTACTTGAGCCTGCTGCTGGGTGTGCCACTGCTGCCGGGAGGCCTTCTGGCCTGCTGCAAATTGCAGGAGCTGGGTGACGCCCTCCTGGAGGAGCTGCTGCTGGTGGGCCTGCGCGGCTCGCTCTAGCCGAGCCTTCTTCCTCTTCCTCTCCAGCATGTAGCGCTGCCAGGCATCCCAGGCCTCCGAGGAGGGCAGAGCTGAGCCCTGCCACCCCCCTCCCCTAGGAGCTTTCCTCCCCGCAGGCAGACCCTGCACCCCAATTACCTTTGCCTGTAGCGAGATGGACCAAAACCACAGGGCCTTCGCTGTGCCCTGCTGCTCCTCCCTCTGGGCCACCAGCTGTGGGCAGAGAGGAGCTGCCTCAGGGATCCAAAGGGGCCCAAGGCTTGAGCAGCACCTGGGGACTGCAGGCCTAATATGGGAAGGCCCCGTCAAATGGGGGGTGGCAGAGACAGGGTGTCTTGGGGGCAGGGTAATGGCAGAAGGGCATACCAGATCTGGACAGCTAATTCAGCTTGGGCTTTGGGGAAGGGGTCCTAGAAGAAGGTCCACAGGTCTTACAGGCCCAATAAGAATTTGCTGGGCAACCCTGGATGTTGCAAAGAGTGGCCATGGCTTGACTGCTAACTGAAAGGCTGAAGCTTCGAATCCACCCAGAAGTAGCTCAGAAGGTTTGGAAAGTTACTTCGAAAAACCAATCACTGAAAGTCCTACAGAGCACAGTTCTACTGACACATGGGCCAGGATAAACCGAGTGGCTGCTTGCAGCGAATGAAAGTGGCCAGGGCAGGTCCAGAGGGCGGAGGGTTATAGATGGGCCAGTGGGGTCACTGTTGTTGGAAACGACCATCTCCAGTAAGAAGTAATGTCCTTACTTTGGATCTAGGCTGGCCCTGTGACCTAGAGGTCGGGACACTAAGTCACCTCTAATCTGGGCCTTAGGAGGCTCTCTTTAGACTCCATCCACCCTGCTAGGAGAAGCTTGGTCCTCAATGGGCAGCCCCAGGCAGAATCCTTCCAGGCACCTAGCATTTGACCCACCAAGAGCAGAAGGCCCTCCCAGCCAACCCAGAGACGACCAGTGACCCGGAGACATGCAGAGCTGTCTGGTCAGGCCAAGTGGCCGCTGAGGACTAGGGGACTGGGCTGGGCTCCAGGGTAGACCTGAAGAACCACCTGCTGCTGTGGAAGAGTGATTCGTAGAAAAGTCAGAGATCTGGGATCATGACTTTCTGAAAAGTTTGTGTGTGTGTGGAGGGACATACAGGCCAGGCACCAGAAACATCTATCTTTGGGTAAGTCGGACAGAGGCCAGGGATTGAAGGCCGAGAAGGCTGCACGGTGTCCCTACACCATATGCATGGCCCCAGCTCATCTCTGAGCTCCACCAGCCTCAAGGGCACTGAGGACCCAAAGTGAGCATCAACCTCAAGTGCCACCAGCTCCTCTCCACCAGCGCCCACCTGCCTGCCTGCTGGGCAGGGAACTAGGTAAAGGGGCAAGTATTTGAACGTCATGACCTCTTCAGGGAGGCTGTCTGTCACCTCCCTGGCTAGTGCTTGCCATTCAGATCCTGGAGCTGACAGAGGAACCAGTATGGCGAGGTGGCGGCAGGCGGCTGTGCCCCGCAGCCAGAGGTGGATGGAGGGATGGGGATCTGAGGACCATCTCTGTGTGCGGTGGGGGCGGGCCCTCCTGCCCATGACTCTGCTGTACTTTTGGGCTGCATGCTGTGCAAACGGGCTCAAGGTGACTTGATCTCACTCGGGTTGCAGGTGGTGTCAAGGAGCTGACTGGGGTGGGGGAAGCACAGAAGGATGGGGGCCCTGGGCTAAGGTGACAAACATAGGAATTAGGCCCATGAATCGAGGAGGGTGAGGGAAATTCCATCGTTCACCTGCCGGCTCCACTGGTGGAAGCAGGACCGGCTGAGTCTCTGCTCCAGGAGCTGAGCACTTTGCCTCCGCAGGAGCTGTGGGAGCAGGCACAAAAGGCTGAGGGAGGCGTCCCAGTGGGAGTCAGGCACCCCAGAGCCACAAGGAGAGTCAGTCCTGGCCCCCCAGGAGGGGGTGGCCCTATCCTCCGCCTGTGGGTGCCTGGCTCTACAGCTGGCCCTCCCAAGCCTTCACAAGCACCCAGGAAGGCGCAGCAGCCTTGTTCCCCTTAGGTCCAAGCACCCAGTTCCCACACCAGCTGCTCTCCGGGTCGGGACCACACGGGCACCCTGGGAGCCACCAGCACCCGCCTCACCGCTTTCCTGATACATCCCAGGTGGTAGGCCTTCCACCTTGCCACGGCCTCTCGCAGGAGCCGGCGCCGATGGTGCTGGGCTGCCCTTTCCATCTGGACCCGCTGCTGGGCCACACTCTGGCTGCGGCTCCGCCAGCGCCGGAATACAATCTGGACGCAGCCTAGGCCAGAACCAAGCCAGTGCCTGCTCTCAGGAGCCTTCCCAGGAGCAACTGTGGGCTGGCGAGTTTACAAAGTCCAGCGAGCACATGTGCCGGCGCAAGGGCGGCCCTGGCCACCTTCAGTGACCCCTTCCTGACTGCACACCTACTGGGGGAGCAGTGTCCTGCCACGTGGCCTTCCAAGTCCTAACTCAGAACCATGTCTGCAACGGAAGAGGCAATCCCTAGCCCCACGCCCTGCCACCACCCCCTCCAAGGTGCTCCATGGCCCTGTTTCGCAGGAGCAGCTTCAGAGCTGCCTTGCTGCCTACTGCCTGCAGCTCCACCCCACCCTTCTCAAACTGCCCCGCTCGGCTGCCCTCCGTCCCTCTGTGAATCTCAAGCCTGGGCTTCCCGTGTTAGCAAACACTGGTCTGGGTGAGTGCTGGGCTGAGAACGACAACGCTGGTGGTTCAAACCCAACAGCTGCCCCTCGAGGGGAAGACGAGGCTTTGCTCTTGTAAAGATGTACAGCCTGGAAGACCCTGTAATGGTTACTGGGAGTTGGGAGCGACGTGACGGCAAGCGGGACGCTTTCTGGCTGGCCGTCAGTCGGGACAAGAATTCCAGGAGACAGATGGACTATGGTGGGACCATGGAACACGAAGGAAGTCCCTTCAAGACCCTCTCCTCAACAGGACTTGCGGTGGGGCCCTGGCTCACCTCTGTCCAGTATGTGCCGGGCCTCCTGGATGGTCCAGTCTTCCTGCTGCCGGTAGTAGATCTGGACTGCTGCAGCCTCCCTCCACTGGGCCAGGACCTGCAGGGGCAGGCAGGCCCACAGAGGCTGTCAGGGCCAGTTTGATCCTGGTCAACCCAGGCGGCTCCTGCCACTGCCAGCAGACACCACAGTGTAACCAGAGCCAGCCCACAGAACCACTGCATAAGCCCAGTGGTGCAGGTGAGGGGGATTTCCTACCAGGAGGATTTAAACCACATACCAAGTCATTCGGGAAAATTTAAACTTAGTTTTACAGAAACTCGGCACATAGGTTACATGCACACCTCTGTCCCCTGAGACACTCGTTATGTGTGACACTTGGAAGTCTGACGAGCCTGGGTGAGGCAGGTGCCTGCTCTGCCTTCACGCGCTCCACCCCCATCAGAGGCCTCTCCACCTGGGAACACCGGGATGCCAGGCAGAGGGGAGTCTGCCCTCCTTCCAGCAGGAGCACTCGGTGACGGTTGTGGAGTTTTCCTGAGCTCATCCACAGGCACCTCAGAGGTCACTGCCAGCAGTGGGGCAGCTGGCCACCAGGGGATGTCCAGGGCTTCTGGCGAAAAGGCATTCTGAAACAGGCCGCAGCCTGACCTGCTGGCTGCTTGACCATTGATCACCTCATTTATTTGACTTCCTTCCTTCTTTTCAACAGCTTTACACAAAATTCTTCCATCTGAAACGCACAGTTCACAATGCTTCTAAGACATGGAACTAGAAGGCCATGTTGAAGGTCAATGTTGAACAGAAGTGGTAACAGCAAGGCAGCCTCGCTCCTGATCTTGGGGGGAAACATTCATTCTTTCACTAGTGAGTCTGATGTTGGCTGTGGGTTTGACACAGATGCCCTTACATTTCCTCTATTCCTACTTTGCTGAGTGCTTTTATCATGAAAGAGTGTTGCATTTTCAAAGGCTTTTTCTGCTCCGAGATGGGAGATGTCATTTTTGTTTTAATTCTACTTGAGTGTGGAATATTCAATGATCCTTGCATCCCTGGGTGTGGTAATTAGCTATGAGGCTGACTGGAAGCTCCTGGTTAGGGACGGTGTTCAACCTGTTGATCACGTGGTAGCTTGATCCTGGGGAGTGTGGCTTTCTGTATCAGAGCAAGACTGAAGTACACGACACTCTGGTGCTTCGACGTCCCTCCTCACTCGGACTGAACTAGGACTGTGTAGCCCACCCGGGGCCGCCTGGCCCTGAGAGCTGTTGGCACCCTGCCACGCTTCCAGCGCCCTTGGGTCCACCTGACTCCGGGTTCACTGGCCTGTGATCTTCCTGGTTCCTGCTTCATTTTTTGGTGTCACCGGCCGGCAACAGCGTGAGTCTGGGAGGGCACTGGCTAGCAGTGCGCCTACAGACTTGACTTGGATGGGGCTGAGGTGCCTTCCTGACGCAGAGTTGCTTCTTGACAGGAAGTTAGACAGTGGTCTGCCGTTTTCTTCTGTCTTTGCCTCGTGTTGCTCTCAGGCTAACACCAGCCTCAGTGCTTGGTGGAAATTCAGCAGGGAAGCCATCTGAGCGAGGGCTTCTCTAATTCAATCTGTTTTGTTGTTGTGATAGTCTGTTTTCAGGTAGCTGGGGGCGAGAGGCTTTTCTCCTCCCGAGAACAAAGCCCTGTGGCTGGGAGCTGGAGGAGAAGGAGCCCCGAGTTCGTGGCTGCAGACGGGGCCAAAAAAGCAGAGCTCTCTCATTGAACTAGAAGCGGTCTTGGTTCGAATACCACAGGTTCCCAACACACTTTCTGATTAAGTGTCATGAGTAGATGTATTTTTCATTTTGCGGTTTGCACTCAGCAGACCATTTCCAGAGGTTCTGAATCGCTGCTTCCAGAGTACTGTCTCGATGAGAACTACTTGACTCACCAGCACGTAGTATGTTTCTCTTTGTAACAGATGTCGGCGCATAATTCGGTAAAAACAAACGTTCATGTGGAGGAATGTGTGTGGTGCAGGAAATGTCACCCCGTTTTGAGATTTCGTGTTTGGTTCTGATCCCTGCTATCACGGCCGTGCCTGAGTCAGAACACAAGCTTGCCTTCTTGGACCTCACCTTGGAACATATGATCCTTCTGTAGTGATCACGTGCTTGCCGGGTCTTTTTAGCTTCATCCACATGGGCCACTGTGTTCTTGTGCCAGCGATGCAACATGCCCCTGCAGGTAAACAAGTGTTGGGGTGGGGTGAGGGTGGGGATGCCCGGATGAGGTGGTGTCTTTGAACCATTCTTCACCCGGTTCCCCAGTCAAGGACTCTGCAGGCTGAGAAGATGTATCACTGATATCCACGCTTCTATGTGACGCATTGTGGAAACGGTTACGGTGCGTTGGCTATGTGCCGCCCGTGGGTAAGAGCTGGAATACAGTAAGATCAGGACCAAACACCATACACGGCCCAGGGGGGTTGGCCTGCTGCAGGGCCGTGCAGACACAACAAGGCAAGGATACCAGAGGCGAATCACAGAGCATGATGAGAGCTAAGCCCCGGGGGGTGGGGGGGCTGGAGAAAGTCCCCTCATCTCAGTGGGTTGCTCACTTGTTAGTCAGTTCAGAAAAAGACCTTTTCTGGTCATCCCATCTGAGGAACTGGAGCGGCACGTGAGGGGACACCAAAGGAGGAACAGAGGTACTGAAAGCCTCAGACCTCCGTCCCACAGACAGGCCAGAACAGTAAAAGCAGGGGGCCTTCCTGGCAGCAGTGAGCTTGAAAGAACTGGAGGGCGGGGCGCATAAGGGCGATGGGAGTGGAGACAGAGCCGTGATCTCAAAGGTCCAGAGAGCTCTAGAGGATGCCCCGGAGGAGTGAGATGGTTGTGGGGAGTCAGTGCAGGGCCAGCTGGCAGGAGCGGATGGAGAACAAAGGGGGTTCGTGCAGCCTCTGCAGCAGGAGATCCATGGAGTAAAAGGGTGCCAGGGAGCAGGGGGGAGGCCAGGAGGAAAAGTGCTCAGAGGAGCATCAGATGGGAGCTCTGGCAAGTGTCCTGAGAGCTGCTTTCTGGTGGCCTGGCCTTGCATGCCGCAGGTGTGTGAGACACAGGGAGCTGAAAAGGTGAGCTGAGTGCTTGTTGTAAAAAAGCCCAAACCTCGATGCAAGCAGGAGTGGGCAGGGTTCCCCGAACCGCCTTGTTCTTGTGATGAGGCTTGCCCCCTAGAACCAAGCCTAATCCCTCCGGCTGTCATGAGACTCTGGGAGACTCACCGCAGCAAGCGCCTGTTGTGCTGGCTCTCCCTGGCCGCCACCTCTCGCAGGACCTGCCGCCCCCTGTCCTGGTAAGTCTGTAGAAGATGGGGATGACCGAGAAGCATGGTTATGAGAGGAAAATGGGAGGGAGAGACCACAGCCAGCACTTTCAAGGTCAGGAGACCACCTCCAGCCCCAAACACCATCAAATGTTAGGCAGAAGACACTTACTAGATCCGTACCCCGATGAGGCAAACCTCGGGACTCCTGGACACAGGCCACTTTTGTTTTAAGGCTGGTGCCAGAGACAACAATTGTTCACTTTGCCAACCCATGTCAACAGAACTTGGCAATAGGGCTGGAGGCCCTATCTGTCCAGGACACTTGCTCTCTGCGGCTTGTTAAGCTACTGTTTGTAGAGAGGCAGAAAGCACAGGGCAGGAAGCAGCGGCTCTTACCACCCATCCCCGCCACACTCTGCGCAGCAGGGTGCACTGGCGATGCCGGTCGGCTTGTACCAACTTCTGACGCTCAGCATTGAGGAGGGCCAAGCACTGTGGGGACAAAGGAGGGAGGTAGGGACCAGGTGCCAGCCTACCCTCAGGGCTCCAACAGAATGGGCTCAGGGAAGGCCAGCTATCCTGCTGAGCCGCAGTTTCTTCAGCTAGACACATGCGCCTCTTAGGGCTTCTGTGAGAGTAAGTGAAGCAAGGGCCTGATGAATGGTAAACGATCGATCAATCTCAGCCATTGTGGGCAGTGGTTAAGCACTTAGCTGGTAACCGAACAGTGGTGGTTCAAATCCACCAGAGGCTCTGCAAGAAAAAGATGAGACTGTCCTATTTCTATAAAGATTTACAGCTTCAGTTTCCCCAAACCTCTATGGGCCAGTTCTACTATCCTCTTAGAGGGTTGCTGAATCGGGGTTGTCTCTCAGTCCATGGCTCCAAAGAAATTTTGGTCTTAGTAAGTTGAGCTAAGAACGGCGTAGCGTAGCACTTCTAAGGAAAGGGAGATTTTGAACCAGTGATGCCTACAGAAATGGTACACACGCCTTCAGCTGCCAACGAGCCTCCCTTCCGGTCCCGGCAGGTGGTTCTCAGAGTCTGCTGAGCAGACATCTGCTGCTGAGTCACATGGCACAGCCCCACCTGTCCAAAGCCACACGTGGCCTTACCTCCCGCCACCTGTTCCAGGCCCAACGCAGGAGCTGCACCGCGTGGAACTCCGCAGCCCAGGCCTTTCCCAGCTTCCTGTGGGGAGATGGGGTGGGGTTCATAAAGGCAGCCCCACTTCAAAGCCAGTCCTCAGCCCATCTAGTGGTGTGTGTTTCTGGGAGACTCAAGACCCACAGGAGGGCTGAAAAAGGATGTGGATGTTCTGGGAGGAGTCCACATATAACAGCGTTTCTGTGCACACCTACAAGAGGCTTCAAGCACCATGGAAGCTACTTGCGGTGCAGTCATGCTGCAGGTGCCGGACTGGGAAGGAAGGTAACAAATGGTTGGGGCACAAGGCAACACCTTGTCAATTGACCTCCCTCTTGAGGCCATGTCTCATTGTTCCTGTTGTTAGTATTTGGCGGCCTGGTTGTTGATTGAGGTTTTGCTCTGTTTCATTCCATCACAATTATCAGGCTGTTTGTTTGTGTTTTGTTTGATTTTGTATGGTTTTCGGCATCTGAAGCCCAGGATGGAGAAACCTACCGAGACAGCACCTGAGTGAATCGTTTCAAAGGGCCTGGGAGGGGAGGGGCCGGCAATGGAGAGACCAGAATGAGTGCAAGGAAGAGGAAAGGGCCTGGAGGTGTTGGGGATGGCCGCACAACTCTCACAAGCGCGACGGAGCCGCTGCAAGTATGCTATGGGAACCATAGCTCGGAGCAACTGTTAAAAAAAATCAATACCCCAATTAACTCAAAAGAACAAAAGGTCTAAAACACATAGCCTGAGAGAGAGGCGATGGGAGCCGTGAACACATGTGAACAAAGAAAGGTACCAGAGCAGGGGATGCACAACCTGCCTCGGATTCCAACCACACGGTTTAAGAGAAACAGCCGTGACCCGCCTTCTGCCCATCACTGCTGCTCCTCGGTGGGTAGCCATCATCCCCCCAGCCAGGTCCATCTGCTTGCTGTAAGCCTCCCTGCTAACTGCCACCACATGGCTGACGTGTCCCCGAGCAATGCCTGACCCGGGTGGGATCTCCAAGATCTTCTAGGCTCTGGTCTTGGGTCACTAGTGGAGGTTAGATTTTGAACACACAAGCTCAGTGTGGGCCGACAGACCCTCCAGACTGGCCCTTAGGACTGAAGGCACCGCTATGGTGATCAAAGGCTGCCTGGGAATAGGAAGGGCTGCTGGGGCAGTTGCTGCTACGCACTCGGTTCTCCGCCCTTGGGCACTCTCCCTCCACACATGGAAGGCTCTCTGGAGCTCCCACTGGCGGTGGTGGGCACACGCCACTGCTTGTCTCTGTCGCTCCTGGTGACACGCTGCTGCCTGCTGGTGCCACGTGGACCAGGCCCTGAGCAGAAGTTGCCTCTCGGCATGCAGAATGGCCTGGGAGCCAGGAAGAAAAGAGGGTGGGTCAACTAGGCGGGCACAGACGCCAGGGAGGAGTGTCCTGGCCCATTTTCCTCTGACCAAGAAACCCAGCCCTGTCACTGCCTCCTGAGCACTTCGGTGTGGGCCTGGGAACCTCCTCAGGGGAAGTACTTACCACTCTCTCTACCAAGCGGCTCTCTCGGTGCTGATGCATCTTCTGCTGCCAAATAGCAAACATTTGCCTCCCTAGGGTCTCCCTAAAATAACAAAGGAATGTCAGTGCAGTTTTAGAAGCAAAACTTTGAAAGAACGTCAAGTTCCAAATAACTGGGATTTTTCATCTTCTCCCGTGCTATTGCTCAAGGAGAATAAGCTCTGACGGAAAGGAAAGAAGACAATCACCAGAACCCTCCATTTCCCGAGTTCTTCTGGCATCGGCCACATTTCTGCCACGCACAGAGATGACACCCCTGCATGCCTGCCCCGACCGTCACCTAACAGGCCCACGCAGGCGCCGGCGCGCCATGTGTCAAGACCCACTTTGCTGTCCATCAAGGGGCTTAGACCCAGAGGAAGTTGCCTTGAGAGGACTTTCTGGGGGCGATGATGCAAAGGTTCTCTATATTGATCCTCCAGGTATATAATTTGTGAAACCTCATCAGACTATTTACTTAACATCTGTACCTTTCCGAGTGTGTTAATACTTATCTTAAAAAGACAAACCAGGTCTGTTTTATGCTCAGTATTAGTGTCTCACTAGAATTAATGAACTATCCTTTTAATAATTCATGAGATCCCACCATAAATTATATTCCTTAAAAAAAAAAATCAAACTACCATTAAGAATTTTACAAAGATAGGAGAAAATACATATGTCAGGATTTTGAAAAAAGTTCAGGGAAAAATCAAATTAAAAGATAATAAGAACTTTCTGTGCCCTTTTGATATGAAACTTGAGCCAGGGATTCCTAAGCAGTTAGAAACAACAAAGCAGAACACATTTCAAGATTGCTATGCTCCAAACAAATCTCTGACTGTTTATTAAGAGTCACAAAGAAGCACCCTCCAAGGGGAGGTATGTAAGTTAATATGTTATGCAGGGCACAAATAGATTCTTTTTTTTTAGGGGCACATCTCTTATCACAATCCATGCATACATTAATTGTGTAAAGCACATTTATCCATTCATTGCCCTCATCATTCTCAAAACATTTCCTCTCCACTTAAGCCCCTCATTTTCTCCCTCCCTCCCCGCTCCCCACTCCCTCATGAATCCTTGATAATTTATAAATTATTATTTTGTCATATCTTGCCCTGTCTGATGTCTTCCTTCACCCACTTTTCTGTTGTCCACCCCCCAGGGAGGTCACATGTAGATCCTTGTAATCGGTTCCCCCTTTTCAACCCACTCTCCCTCCA